TATAGATAATTAATATTGCGTAAAATCAGAAAGATATTTATTTAAATAGAACACTTTAAACTGTTTAAAACACGATAAATATTAGTTAAACTTATTTGAAAGTTATTTATACTACGACCCGACGTTTCGGATGCTTTGCAGCAGCCGTGGTCACGGGGAGGCACCATCGGGAGCTCGAAAGTAGGGCCCTAGTTAAGATAAATTTCGTATAAATTAAACTAATATACCTATTTACGATTACGTTTTAAACTATACAAAGGTTATAATTAAATGTGTACTAGCGTAAACTACAGACAGTATTTAAAGATATTATTAGTTAATTGTTCTTGTATATACTAAATACATTTTATTTTCGGTATTCTAAGTTTAAAATGATTATATTTCAAACAACCAATACAGCCTCTACTATAGCCTACATTCCGCGAATTCTTCGGGCAATTCACCCGAACAATCCTTATTGTTTTCTGTGAAAAATACAGACGATAAGTGAAAGGAATTTTTACGGCATTTCACATCAATTGCGCACTTCCTTGACAATTAGCTGAGTAAATATGTAATTAGACAGATCTCTATAAAGGCACAGACAATGGCAGGTGTGAATACCAAACGATTTTTAAGGCTCGGATTTGCAGCGAGATTAGACTTTGCTACTTTAAGTATTCAAGTTTTGCGATTTATACAACCCACGGCTTTAAGTTCGTTTTGTTTTTAAACAGTTGTGGGCGATTGAGTTGATTGTTGATAGGGATTTCATCGTTTCGTTAAACGCGTCAAAACATTGTTTACCTAAAGCCTATGAGGGCTCTGTAGTGTGTATACATGTATAAACCTTTAATTACGTTATTAGTTAAACTTATTTAAAATATTTTTAATTCATTTTGCTTTTGAGGAGCCGGTGGTGCCGGGAGACTGTATACATGTACTAATTACCGTGTTAGCCAAAAACAGTTTACGCGAAAACTTACTTCGCGGCAATTTAGATATTTTTAATACTGTGAAGTTTTGGTATTACCCATTTATGTTTAAAAATGAATTATATTAAAATATCTTAAGAGTATATAGTGCCCAAGACCATATTCTATAATTTGATAACGTTTACCATGTGTGCTCTACAATAGCCTAACATAATAATTCCCAACGATTTTTAAGAAGATCACATACTATGTATGCCATCGCGATTCGAAAACAGCTTTTTATTACATTTTCGTTCACTTTATTGTAATATTATCGAATTTATATCTGCGCTTATCAATGTGATGACTACAACATAAATATAATCGACCACTAAAATAGGATGGTCGGTGTAATAAAATTTTGAAGAAATGAAGTCCCCGATACCCAACTTTTTATAACTGAGAATAAGTAGTCGACTTTTTATCTAAACCAGTCCATACGATGGACCGCCAATGACAAAGTTATAAAGCTTTATAACACTTGATTTTCCAAACATCGTCTGTCTAACACGTTGAAAAGGGCTTTAGAAGTTTGTTCATCGGTTAGTTATTGAAACTGAACTGTGTTTTCAGTTGTCTTTCTTCAGATCTGAGACGAGCTTAAAACCAGAACTTAGCGACTTAGTCAAATCTCAAACCAACCTTCAGAATCCTTAGCACAACACTATTTCGTTCACCATAATCAATTTCGTTTTGATTCTACTTTAAACTATAGATTGCACACACAAAACACTACACTGCAATCCGATGCACACTAAATACAAGAATCTAAGTTACACTAAGTTTTGGCACAAGATTTCACTGAAACGTGTTTTTGTTGCACTGCGCATGCGCCGTGACAACCGCGACGGAGCTCGGAAAGGCACTGCCGGCTATGCCTGAGTACAGGCGACTCTTCGAGGGAAAAACGCGCTCGCGCCGATAAAAAGCGCTGAATGATCGTTTCCGAGAATATGTAAGGGTTGCACATTTTTGTTCTAATTTATACGGCGCGCATACCTTCGTGGATCGCGTAAAAAATACGAGAATTCCGTCAACTATCCTTCGAGATGGTACAGCTACATAATATATTTACTTAATCCGTGGACCCAGAAACCCAAATGACATGCAGAACATCATCAGGTCCAGCTCCTCGGCGGCTTAACTGTGTTTTATTAACTTAGCCATTTTGACCAAAAAACAACTCCGTTTTCAGAACCAAAATACGTGTTATTGATAGCGTAAATTAATTCACATATTCATGTTTCAGGTTGATTTCTTAACTACTATACAAATACAAAAATATTTTAAAATGTGGGTATCTATTAAGTGTGCATTTATTTTGAAGAAATAAGGCTGTATCGCCAATGCTGAACGCAGCGCTCAAATTGCTTAGCTGAGACATCGTAGCCGACGCGTTGCCGCCCCCTCCCGCATAACAGGTTGCTCGCATACCGTTTTGAGCGCCAATTTCGAGCCTCCCTGGATAGGGACGCCGACTTGATCCGTGGATAAGGTGATAACAAAATTATTTTTACTCTGTAGTAGTGACCCTATTATTTTTAAGAATTTCTCAAAATAGTCTGTGGAGTATCAAACTATGGTAGTAAGTCGCGCTGAAATTCGATTTTTTTTTATTTATATAGCCTATGCAGTAATTCATATTTATTGATTAAATATATATTTACTCTTAATGAGAATGTACGTATGATAATAGAAAGTAATATTCTCCATATTTCTTTCATACAAACGACTTCAACGCAAACTACGACGGCCTCGTCGTTCGGTAGGTAATGGTAGCAATGTATGGTTAATAATCACTAGATCAAGGGTTCGATCCTAACCGGATCTAATAGGTATATTTCTTAAATAAACATTGTCTGTAGTTTACGCGAGTTACATTACGTTTAAGTAATCAAGTTTTAAAAAGTTAAGTATGCTTTTAAATTTCTAATCAATTTATAATTTTTCCAAAATCATAACATTAAGTAGGTGGTAAAAATATTGGTATTGGGTTTCGTCTGGGTCACAAACCACACTTCATAGGTGAAACAGGCGTGAAGTTTAATCGGGTTTCGTTTTCAGTTTGTAGATTTTCCAATACCAACTAAGAAAACTACAAGATAGAGTCGAGGTAGCGAATACCAACACGTTAGTTTTTTTTTTGTATTTGTAAGAATTGATCCGTATTTCGCCCATGGTGTTGTTTATTTGAATTCACCTTTGTATTTTATAGTTTTGTTTGACTTGGCTTGGAAAAAAATATATTTCTTTATGATTAGTTATTTCATCGTAATTTTTTTATACATAAAAACTAAACTAAGCACTACGGCTCTTTAACTTTATACATGTACGTTTTCACGCTATATTTACCTACTCATTAATTTTGCTATATTTTATATTCGGTAGTTCATAAAAAAAACGAACTCTTCCTATTTCGTATTTCTACGTACTCATATAATACCTATTTATATATACTTACTAGAATCTATAAACATTATATCCTGCACCTTACTGGCTGACTCGTTCAGTAGTAGTAGCAAACCTTCGACCACTTTCGATTTTGGCCTGGTTATAAGAGTTGGTAGAAGTTACCTGGAAAATCATAAGCTATAAACATGAACGAAATCTAACACCTATACTGTGTCTTGATAATAAAAAAGTTGTTTGTTCCGATTGTGAATTTTTTTTATGTACAACCGCGAGACGTGACCTGTGGCTTTATTTTGTCGCCAAATGAACAATGCATTATCAAGCCCTTACTTCGCTAGGACACTGAAACTATCACTCGTAAGGTTTAATTCCCATAGGGACCAACAGGTTGGTATATCTATCTCTGACTCAATGCTAGGTTCAAAGTTTGAAATCCAGATACTCAATTGATAGTAGGAATATGTAGTACCATCTAGACTTCTAGAGCTTTCGACGACTCGTGGGTGGATAGACAGAACTGTAACAGCATTTCGGCTTTAGTCCATGGATTTCCAAAGCAAATTTAGTAATTAGGCATTACTTTATCTCCTTTAAATAAATAAATATGGTATCCCCCTGAGAGTCCTGTGAAAAATGTAATAAGTACTGTCAATAATGCATTTAAACGACTTGTAACAGGTAGATTAGACTTTATCACAAATAGTCTTTGAATGGTTTTTTAATGAGATATAACATTATAGATTTTTATAAAGCCTTATCAGAACCCCAACCATACCACTAGACTATAAGTTTTAAGTGTTACCAGGTAACTATTATGAAGCCGGCTACACTACTCCCTGTCGCCAAAAAATAATAGTATCTTGCATTACAATCAAAATCTTATCATACCTAACAAAGCTTCAACAGGTACAATTAGGTGCTATCAGGAATCAGGAATGCTGCCATTATTGCCCCTTCTGATACAATATCAGCTGGGCAAAATACCTTCCTGGACCAAGGCTTTACAGAACATTTTCCTGTAGCAAGATAATAATGCCTCAATTACAGCTAATTAGATGTGCAGCTTATAGATGTTGGTAGCACCTTATCTAGTTGATGTAGAATCAGGTAATGTTATAATACTTCAAAATTAAAGGAAAATTTGTCTGTACCGCTGTAGAGCTCCACACCCAGAACATTAAAATTTCATTTGAAATTAAATTAAAAGTATACAAAATAAATTATCATTATAATTGTTTCTTTAATTTCTGTGGATTATATTACATTATTTTCGCTTTTGAAACTGAAACAGTAAAAATATGTAATAATAAAAATGCACTTGTCAGCCTTCTCATTTGGGTAATAATCATAGATATTTATTGGTCTTTGCCTTATTTGGCTTGTTCAATATGTCCTAAAGATGCCATTTACCTATGATGGTACAACATTGCAAATCATTATTCAATTATGAATACTATTTGATTAATTGAAATAGGAACATATATTTACATGAAGTAATTGCAAAAATAACACACCTGATAAAAAAAGGAACAAATAAAATATTCACTAAGATTTCCTTACAAACTTATGTTAACCAATTCAAATAAGAAAGTAAATTGCATAATACATAATTACTGAACATCCCTTACGATTAGATTAACTAAAATTAAAAGGTATATTTGGCCAGTATGCAGGTTTGTATTCATCTTTTTTATCCATAAAGTCGGCCGTTAAAGACATCTCTAATGCACATATTCTTTCCCACTTATCACCATAAAGTTCTTTATAGTGATCCTCACTTAAAACACTAGTCTGTTGAGGTTCATCAGTTATATCATCTGTATTTTCTTTTTGTCTCAACAATTCACGTTCACGTCTCGCATCTTCTTTGAACTTCGCGTTCGCTTTAATAAATTCTATAAATTCTTCACTAACTGTGAACTCTTCATCTTCTTCCACACAGTGTGCATTTTCATCAAATTCTTCATTTTGATCATCTGCTTCATTTTGCTCTTCGCTGTCCTCATTATCTGTGTCCTGTTCTCTTTGGTTCCCTAAATGATTCTTTCTAATGATGTCATGTAACAATCCATTCTCATATTCCAGAGCTTTCGCCCTAGCTTTCCAATAAGCTAGTTCGTGTTTTATTTGCCAATTCGATGCCATTGTGAAATTTTCAGCCCACGACGACATTGCGATTGAAAGTTTCGAATTCCTCTGAAGATCTTTTCGATTCTTTTTGTTTAAAAGTTTGCGTTTTCGCCTCGCTCTTTTTAGTTTTAACCGTCTTAAATTCGTATTTTCCTCTCGTTGAGTGTAATTATTTGTGTTCATTTTTAAAGTCGCGAGCTTACATCAAATTATTTGGCATTTTGGCAAATCTAAGGGACAATACAGATTACATATGTCAAATTTGACATTGCCATAAAAGTTTTCGATAATATGGTACATAGAGTTATTCCCTATAAACATTATATGAATTATTATAAAGCGAACAATAATTTAAATTAGTTTTGCAATTATAAAAATGTATTAAAAGTCATCTCAGCATTTTCATTCTTTGATGCGATAGATTGACATTTGTCAACTATGAGATATTTGACAGATAAATTGATTTTCATATATTCCGGTGTTTAGTTATGCTTTCCACAATAATCGCTCACGACACAATACAATTGATTTAACAGTACACAATGAGTAGCACTTGTCGTACTTGTTTGGGTGAAGGAAAAGAAATGAAACATATTCATTCTGTTATTTCTATTGCGGGTGATGATGTTCGACTTTCAGACATATTACTTCATTTCTACAACTATAAAGTACGTGATACAATTTTATTTACATCTGTTTATAAGAATAAGAGCTACTAAAAAAATTTATTACATTCCAGGTCTCAGATGATACTATGCTTCCCGAGTACGTTTGTATAAACTGTACATACCAACTCACTATAACTTATTCCTTTAAAATTCTAATTGAATCAAGTACTAAAAAGTTAATGGAGAGAATTAACTACACAGAATCTGCAAGTGATGAAAATGATACCTACTTATCTGACGATAAGGAAATAAACAATATAGAAAACAAATTAAATTATCCAAAAGAATCCAACATAGATATAGAAAGTTCTACTGAATTATTTTGTGTAGAATGTAAAGCAGAGTTTACGTCCACAAAATCACTTTACAATCACTGTATGAACAATCACCCAGTACATAACGATGTTGGTAGGCCTTGTGAATACTGCAGTGAAAAATTTGAGGACTTCCGTTCCTTAATAATGCATAGAAAGCTTCACTTACATCCCTATATGTGTGAAAACTGTTGGGCAGGGTTCTATTCTCATGAAGACTTAGTCAAGCATAATTGTCAACCAAACCGTCACAAACCTAAGGGGAAGTCTAACAAAAAAGCACTGAGACAATGTGATCAATGTGGGAAGTCATACCCTCCAGGTTACATACGAGTACACATGTTAACGCACAGCAACAACAGACCGTATAGCTGCAAATATTGTCCCAAATCATTCAAAGTTCCCGGTAGCCTCAATTCACATATACTATGGAACCACAAACGGACAAGAAACCACAGATGTGAAGTATGCAATGCTACATTCATTAGTTCTAGTTCTAGAAGCTCACACATACGAAAGAACCATTTGAAAGAAACAAAATACGCTTGTGAGAGTTGCGGTAAGCGATTCTTTTCAAAGTCAGAATTGCAACGGCACTCTCTTACTCACACCGGAGTTAAGAACTTCCACTGTCATTTATGTGATAAGTCCTATCAGACTAGATATGGTTTGAATGTGCATTTGAAATCTCATCCGCAACCTGTTATAATGAATCTCTGATAAGTATTTACTTATATATAAATAAAGTACAAAGTATGTTTATGATCTCTATATCGTAAGTAGAAGAAGTTTAAAGTATAATAATGTTGTAGACCATAGTAGGTTTGTGAATTATTTATTACAAACACTTTACTTTTTACTTATTTTTTTTTATTTCATCTTTGTAATGAAAAAATATAATTACATAAATTTATTTAAACAATCTGTGAATTGCATTTGTGATTCCTTAATTGCAATTATAATAAAATGTGTTAATGACAGATATTAAATATAGCGATGATAACTATAATTATGTTTTGAGGTTTCAGCAGACAGCAGCTCTATTGTATAATTTTAAAATCAAACGGCCTCATAATTGACAAAATTTTTATGTTATTCAAAAAGACAATTAACAGAAAATAACAATTTGCCAAGCTACAAATTACCTCAATAAACACAACTATTTATTGAAGAAAATAAATTAGTATATTATAATTAAAAGTATCTGCATTTTAATTTAAAATACGGAATTGTTCAAATATATTTGATTCTTTACTATTGAATTTCTCACCAAATGTGCAATAAGTTATTAAATAAAAAATATCTATGTTGCGAGTCAACTAGGGATTTCAAATTTCGCACAAAGATTGGATTGATGTGTCTAGTCAGGATTGACCTTAACGTAAAATTTTGACTAAAATATATAATATTAATCAGAAGACAAGTAAATAAAGGGCTATTGAAAAACAAAATTATCTGTGCCATCTCTAGTTAATTTGCACACTTTACATTATCAATGCTTCTTCATCAATAAAACTCACATAATATAATAGTATCATATCTACTAACAAGTGTTTTTTGTTTCAACAAGACTAAAAGGAAAGACATATAAAAACAACATTTATATTTAGCAACTATCGGTGTAACAATACTGTTGATAATGAAAAACAAATGAATGAATCGCATATAAAAATATAAAACTATCACTGTGGGATATTTACATTAGGCGAGCAAGGCCCACACGGTTTTAGTTACTACTGAAATCTGAAGTCCGTTATATTCGAGTGTAACCTGCAATCAAATTCACTAATTAATATTAAACAAGTTTTTTGCACACGAAAATGATATAAGTTTTTTTATTATAGTGGTTCCTTTGTAGCATATCAAGACATAGCTGCAAGTCATCATATTGCCTTGCTTTATATACTAATTTCTAGATATAGAGAATATAATATAGAGAATATAAATAATGAGAATATAAATGTATATTAAAAAGGCTCTTTTAAGTTATAATATATTATACAAAAAATCTATAACATTACTTAATCACTTTTAAAATAACAATTATTATAATCAAATACAAATTATCATGTAAATGAAAACCTAATATACTAGCATGTAGATTTACATGCTTTTTTTAGCTTTGGGAATAAAGAAATTTTTAAATACAATAACTTATTAACAACTATTAAGAGAAAACCAGAAGAAAAACAATAAGCAATGTAACTAACGTGTTAAGGCATTATAGTCAAATCAGCAACTGAAATTATTATATTTATTACAAAGGTTGACTGGAAGCAATTGCCATAGGCGATAAGGCCGCCTTTGCACTAACTCTTTAACGTATTAATTAATTTAGTATCACTATATTTGTATTTTGTGTGATTGTGCAATAAAAGTGTTTTATTATTATCTTAATCATCAATTTATCAACCATCAGTTGGAGATTTGACTGCGGTGCAATCTACCATGCTACTATAAACCCGACGTGCCTTTAAAAATTGAAATCTAATCCTATTTGATACATAACTTCCTCCATCTCTCGCGACTCCGGTTTACCATTTTCCTGTTCTGGGATGTCCGTGTCGCTTGGGTCTTCTGGGTTTTTATTCGAAGCGGTGGGAATACCCAGGATTATCCGAATCTGGTCGGATAGGTGTGGGGCGGAGATCAGCTGATGATAGATACCTTCCGCTGTACTCAAAATCTTGTCAATGTCTAGACACATTGACAGGTCGTTGACATGCTAAAAAATAAAGGAAAGCATTATTAAAAAAATATAATCTACACTTATATAAAGATAAAAAGTTTAGTCAGGAACTACTGGTTTAAATTAAAACATTATTCTCCTCTTGGTTGGACCATTTATCGAAGGCTATTAAACATTAGACTGAGGCCAATAAGAAACAGAAAAAAACAGAGTCAATTATAAATGAAGAGGTGGTTTGTAAAAAATAAATAATATGTGCCCAAAATAACTATTCCCTAGGATGAATTCGCGGACATATCTTCTTACTGTAATAAAATGACTGTAGAGCCAATCAAGACCGCGTAGCACCCAGATGCCCTATACTCTCAATATTGTGCTTTTTAGAGCCGTCAATACTAACCTATGTGTTTGCACCTAGTCTAAGGAGCTTGGTTTGGAGCACCGCACCAATATTGTGTTACACTCTCTACTTGTTGTTGCAAACCGTACTTTTGACCACACTGCGCATATCGCGGGACTAAAGACTTGGGCTAGAAGTAATATTCAATTCTGATTACCTTTAATATTTCTGTGAATCCATAATCGCCACTAATAAGAACATCCTTTTCAGCGTCGAGGATGGCAACACATATCAGTAGGTGAAAATTGGCACAGGGCAACCCCGTCCATAGCACCTCCCATAGCCTGAAATAAAAATATGTATACATTCACTTATTATTGTTAACTATTAAATTGAGAACTTTGAGAGTATTCTTATAAAACACATCTATAAAAAGGAGGTAGTTATGAATAGTCTATTTTGGTATTGTTATCAAGCGCATGACATCGGCGCAAACGCAGCTGATCGAATAAATTTACAAAGATAAGCGATACCAGAGTTTATAATTTTTTTGTATTAATTTTTTTTTGTGTTATTATATACTTGTGATGTGTGTTTTATAGTTTCATCTATTTATAATATTTTCTATTTTTGCTTATGTTATATTTATTATTTACCTCATAATATCACTAAACGAAAATTCCCTCTTGAACCAGACGAGCAGCCATCGGAAGCAAAAGTACATATTTTCCGAGTCCTTCGTCGCCAAGTGTTTGGCAAGATCTGGCACAGCGAACGTTAGCAACTGCTGCAAATTTAGTAGCTGCTGCTTCATCCCGGCTTGGTCTATGTCGAAGTTTGATAACTGTGAGGGCGATTTTTATTTATTTAATGTTTTGATTTTCAGAATTTCCTAATACCTAAATCTTTCTTTTCAAAATGCAACGCTATTTTTTTCCAGTAAAAAAATTAACTCACAATTTTTTCCATGAACCCAGCAAAGCACCAAAAGCTGTCCACCTCGTTGCCTAGCAACAGCAACAATGGCGCCAGTATATCGCTCATGCCCTGGACATATCCCAAATCGAAGTTGTACATAGCATATGTCATTAGGATATCTTGGAGGACCATTAAATTAGGGTTATTATCCCCAGCAAAGAATGGGTGTGTCCTATCCGTTCTATTCACGTCCTTCTCCACTAAACTCTTTCTCTCTCTATACTCGCTGAAGCGAGACTCTTGTTTTTCGGTTATAGACCTCCACTGAAGCTTCATAGAGAAGTATTCTTCCGTTTTCTTCTTCTGTATCTTTCTTATGTCCGCGTGGGTCGCGTTCCACGGGTAGTAGTCGAGAAGGTACTTCCATACTGAGTGTCGAATTGAATGTGCCACGCCCTGGAACATAAGCACGAGTTCATGAAGAAACGTAAACTTGTTCAATAAATGTCCTTGTAATCACAGTATTCATTTCTAAAAGACTTGTAATAATATATGCTTATATGAAGCTCACAGGAAAAAGTTTTTCTTTTACATTTAACACTTTTTTATACCTGTTAAGGGTGGTTGGAAAAATTGTTTTTCTTCTCACAATCGATATAAACCTACCCCTCTAAATATTAGCTGCTTAACCCCCTCAACTTCGAGAATTCGTCCATCCGTGTCCTGCAAGCCTTCCCATTTCTCTGTCGACAGTGGGGTGCCTCTGTAACATTGATAGACCGATAGATTACACCGATTATAATACAATTTCAAATTAGCAAATATACCAATACAATAATAAGTGTGTAACTGTGTTATTTTTAAATTTAACCATGTTGCTTGTCTTGTCTTATACAATCAAAACGTAAGTAAATTATTTTATTTATCATAAGATTGTGTTTTTCTAAACTATCATTATTTATACTAAACTACTTAATCTAAATTAAACATCGATAGATTATTTGAGGACTTGAACCGTCATCCACAGCGTTCTGTGCTGTTGCTCTAACCAATTGAGCTGCCTTTTCCTACACGTCATCGTCGATATTTTTCAACTTGTTGATACTTGCACCTCTCGCGCATTCTCAATTCAAGTCAGTTAAAAACAAAAGAAGAATCAACAAACCTGGGTATGCAAGGTCTCGGCGGTAAAGTGGGTTTCACACTGATCACCTCATATCCTTCAGTCTTCGTAACGCTAGTGGAGTCTTCGAGAGCGCTCATACTCTTCGTCAGCAGATCAGCCACCTCATCACTGACATCTCGTTGCCCGTTCAAACCTTCGTTTCCGTAATACACTAGAACGCGCCAAACTGCTTCGGTTAGTATAACTTCATTTAAATGAAACAGGCTTTAAACATTTATGATAACATTTTTCGTTATTTCGATAAAACTTTCAGAAATCAGCTAAATAAATAATAGTGACAGTATAGTACAATATTAACATTTTAATAATTCACATAAGGTAATTATAACACAATGTAACTTTATCTATCTACCCTCATTAACAAGTATTAAAGTTATGACGGTAGAACAAATTACAAACGATTTTTTGTTTTTATATAAATGAGTATGGTTTTTTTCTATATCTGAGAGTGAAGTATGATGTGTGTATATTATAATTGACAATGATTAATTCTGATATAAAATTAAATCGATACGGGAACAGTAGACGTAAATTCGATTGGACAAAAATTTAAAAAATCACCTTGGTAATGTTATTTCATGTTTAGTCTTATAAGAGACTGCAAACAGCGGTAAATTGATTAGTTCCGGATTTTTGTAACCACTATAAACTGTTTATATGTACAAACTACAACCACAGCGCTCTGCCATGTACAATGCCTCACCTATATCTGTTAGTTTCGAAAAGGCCTCCATAGTCGTCTCGTACGGCCGCTGCTTGAAATTCGACACCAGACCCCAGACCACATCGGTAGTATTCTCCGTGAAGATATCCAACTCAGCGAACGATCTATTCAGAACTTGGGACTCTGTATTCGGTTCCACTACGACATACGTGTTTCTGTCGTGTCTCGTCTTCGCCGTTTTGAGATGATTCTTCAATTGCGACACGAAGACTTCCGCGTTGCCATGCTGGAAGTAGAAGGTGTTCTGCCAGATGCCCGGTTTCGTGGAGAACTGCATCTGCTGACTGTTACGGGCGACCTTGAAGGTTTTCAGCTCGTCGAGGGGTATTTTGACTATCCGAGCGCGTGCCGCCGCGTAGTCTGAGGTCATGTTGCCGCTGAGAGTGCGCTGCCGTCGACCTAACAATAATCAATAGTTAAGGCTTTTGGCAACTAGCTATAAATATTTTTTACAAAGCTTTATATTTTGAAAAGTCGGTTTCTGTTATGGGTACGAAATACACTTTAAGCACTAGGCAGTAAAAGTAGCATCGAAAGTAATGGAATGGATGGAGCGAATCTCTACTCGCTTTTGTTAGAATATCGAAATCTATACTTAATATTATAAAGCTGAAGTGTTTATTTGAAAGCGCTTATCTCAGGAGTTACAAGTTCGAATGGGTTATGGAAGGGTGATTCCTTTTTAAACGATCTAAAGAAGTCTGCAATGTATGTCTCTTACAACTTGAGAACCTGTAAGAACGACGAGACGCGCATAACATCTGTGTAACAGCTATCATTTATAATGATGAGCAGATTAGCAAAATCAAATTTTGGTGCCTAAAATAACTATTCTACGCGGACGTATTCGCAGCCACATCTAGTTATTTACATAATAGGCTAGGACTTCTAAATTTGTTTAAACACATTGTATACGAAAAATTAACTGAGTTCTCATTATTATTATTTTTTGTTTCCTATTGAAGATGCCGAATTAAGGCCAGGTGATGAGTAAATAAAAACTGCTGGCTATTTTATCCCTGACCCCATACGGCGGAAATTAATCGTCACCACACTAGGAAAGTCTAAAGGATAAAGAATCGTTTTACTACACTGTGTGTATAAGATGTATGTTTATTTTAAAGTTTGCACAATAATATTGTTTGTTGAATCACTGAAGAAATGATTCAGTGTAAAATATGGTTTTCATTAATTACATTAAAGTTGAACAAACATATTAAAAATAGAAAAATTAAAATAATATGTAAAAGGTTAAGAGCATGCAAGAACCCTATTGTACATTTTGTATTGTTTTTATTATTATTTGTCATTTGGACATGTTGAAGGCGGGGAAGCAGTCTATATAAGACTGATATTTATATTAATATATTTGTGATACTTCTATATAACAATATGTTATAAAAATTCCATTCCAGAAGGCAACCATTTTGACCTTTGCTTTTGATAGCATAGTTTGATAACAAACAAATGGCTTGTGTGCGGAAGAGGTAATTTAATTATTAAGTTCATGTCACTGGCAGCATTTTCAAAATGATGAAAATTTTGTTACAATTAATCTCTGTTAGTCTCTGAATAGCTTTTTTTTTACTTATAACAGAACTTTCCCTGATACATTGTTTTGTTGTAACAAGTAAAATTAAGAGCAAAGATAAAAAAACTGATGATATCTGTTCAGAGACATAAAAATTAAATGTTCTAAATAAATAAATCTTATAGAAAGATTATTATATAATCCAGTACTAGTTTATTGTAACATATATTTTGTTTCCTTGTTTAAATTACCTACCAATAGTATTGACAACTGCCCATTCCTGATCCTGGGTATCTGAGTCAATAGTGATAAGATCATTTGGTCTCCATTCTATACACTTGGTGCTATCAGGATTCTGAACTATGCAGAGCATCCCAATACTGTTGAGGTCTGATATCGGCCGACCAATGCATGCCTTTAGTAGCACCCCATCTTGTGTGAACAACTCCTTCAAAGAAAAATTGTTATTGTTCATTTAAATTAATTGTTTTGAAGTTGGATTCCAAGAACATGATAGTGTTTTAGTTGTGCAGGTATATAGTTAAAAAGTGAACCAGATAAAGATACCTTATTAAAAAATAAAAACCTATTAGAGCAATGGACACAGAAATGTGTTCAACTCATGCCCAGCCATGGGGATTGGGATTTTACTGATGAGAATATTGCATGTATGTACAATATTAATGCAAACTTAAAAGAATGAGGCAGGACAAACTTTAAGTACACAAACACACAGTATGTTTGACATTGTTTTCTTTTCATATATGAAGCTTTATATGTAATATTTACATTTAAGGAGGCTTGTGAAATTATATTTAAAAATAAAAATAAACAGCTTTACGTAGGTAGACATTAGATATATTCACTAATAGCAAATTAGTTTTGTATAACTTAACTGATAAAAATTGTCTAACGATATATGGATAAGATATTTTTAACGCAATGGTAAGTAACATTTAAGGTATGATGCAATCATTTAAATCATCTAACGCGAATTGAGAACAGTAAAGGTAAATTTGAAGGTCGTGTGTTTAAGAAATAATTAGAAAAGGTAATGCAATAATTACTCCACTTACTTTGTACTGTTCAGGCAAATCTTCAGTAGAACTACAAGACATGTTGATTGTGCTGTTAAATACACGAACAATATTGCACTTAAATAAATTTTAACCACGGCATTGTCTTAGATACAAACGCAATACGCAAAACAACAAACAACAAAGCACAAAACCAGATTCTGCAATAATATTCAATGATAAAACTCAAGTACATGTGACAGACTATATAAGAGATAACTAAGCGGGACGTATTTATCTGTGTTTCGTTAATTTTTTCAATAATACAAAATTTGCATATTTAAGATTACTCATTCGTAAAATAAATACGATTTTGGGATAATAACATCACTTTATTTTAATTGTTATGCACAAAATAGCAAAATATACGTTTATTTTGTTCTTTCTCAAGTCTGGCTCAAATAACATACTGTGTGCTTGACAGTGACAGTAATATAACGCTGTGACGAAATCAAAATAATGTTTAGATATCATTGAAACTTATATTTACATTATGAATTAAAAAATTAAATTGATATAATATCCTAGAATGTTTTAATTTTAACAATACTGTGCAATTCCTATGACATGTTAATTATTAATATTATTATTTAGTTAAGGCAATTAATTTATTAAAATGACGAATCTCGACGTGAGTATAAAATTGCAATCATGTTTGGATTTTTTCGTCTTGTGTTTAGCATTAGGATTGGTATTATAACTTAAATAATGAAAACGACACAATTTTTTCGTGTTTTTTTTACTTATACCGGCCCTTAAAAGACTTTATTGGCGTTGTATTTCTCTGGCTGATGAAGAATTTATTTATTGTTTTAGGTAAGTAACAGTAGCACAGACAGTAGTTCTGGGTCTAGCTCTGAATCAAGCAGTAGTGCCTCTTCGTCTACCAGCTCAGGCTCTGGGTCAAGTAGTTCAGATTCTGAATCATCAACCTCTGATGTCCAACTAACAGCAACAGAACCGAAGTCACCTAAGCCAGCTCCAGTGGAGGAATCAAAAAAAGGAAGAACCAAAACAACGTCGAACATCAAAGCCTAAAGCTATATCCTCTAGTGATGATGACACTCCAAAAATACCAAGTCCAAAGCCCCTTCCACCAAGGCGGAGGGGTTCGGCTAAAACGAAAAATGCTGCCAGTGTTCTTGTCCCAAAGAAACCAACCAAAACCACTGGAGCAAAAGCAAGGGCTATATCAAAAACTATAAACAAAACAGTGAAAAATGACAGTGCATCAAAGAAAAAGAGTATTTTCTCTCCTGATAATAGTTCTGAGTCAGATTCAGAGAGTAAGGACAGTACTTCCAAGTCCAGTCCAAAAACATCACCTAAGGTCAAAAAGACAAACAAAAAATCTAGTGATGAAAAAGATTCTTCACCGTCACTACAAAATGATGACTCAAATTCAAATTCTAAAGACAGTTCAAAAAGGAGAGCTAGTAGGTTAAACGGACCACCACCAAAAAAGCTCTCAGAAGATAAAAGTGCTACGTCCTGCTCTTCCAGTCAGTCATCGGTAGAATCTGTTTCTTCTGATAGTGATAGTGAACCCACTCCCAAGAAAAGTGTACTGAAAACTAAACCTAGTAGTAGTAAGGTAAGCTGTAGTTGTCTTTATGGTTTAAAATTCTATGCATCATCTGAGACGTTTTTATTCTATATTTCAATGTTTTTTAAATGATTTTAATTTATTACAATTGTGTGAATTATAACTAAATAAGGAGAAAAGATTAGTTGTCTATTAAATAATAATATTACACTAACAAATTCTTACAGGATACACATAAAAGTGGTGATTCCGGTGACTCTGTGGTCGAAATTGTACCACGCAAGCTGACACGTTCGATAGCCGCGCGGGTATCGCGTATGGCTGCTTCTAAACCAACTCATACCGATACAGATTCAGATGCAGAAGAGAAGAACAATGAGAAAAGGTAATTGCTTAGCTCAGGGCAGCCATAATTAAGACCTCTTGCTATATATAATATACAAAGAATAGATACAAATAGGATTACTAAAATATTTTTATGAAATATTATTGTAGTTCAATTCTATATTTTCAGCAAAGAAGACAAAAGACTAGCAAAGGCCCGAGCTGCACTTGTGAAATCACCTGCTGTTCCACCAATGCCGGCCGTACCCTCAGAAAGGAGGTGCCCTGTGAGGGGTTGCGATTCTAGTGGACATTTGGGTACAACATGATGAACTTTCACCAGCTAAATATTGTTTTTAAATAAACTGTAGGTTTAAAACCGTATAATTTGAATATTTTTAACTTCGGCCCGACGTTTCGGATGCTTTACTATAATATAGGTTCTAACAAAGAAAGAGTACTACTGCGTAAACTATAAGGACAAGGCTTGTTTTTGTTCTAGCAAGGAGACAGATACATAGATGAAAAAGGTGTTAAGTGTAAATTCAGGTTTTGGTTACTGTACTCTACATATGACTGCCTAGAGCTATAGATACCTGATTATTACCTAGCCTTGCAATAATAAGAAGTCATGTGTTTGAATTACAGTTCACTGTTTTGATTGGACAGGGCACAGAAGTCTGAATAGAGATTGTGTTTGCCCCAAACCCAACCTAGGGAAACAGGATATCACTTATACTATGCCTTCTTTAATTATATTCATGATTGTAAAACTTTTTTCAGGTGGTAAAGCTGAAAAGCACTTCACATATGACGCATGTCCGATATACCACAATGTGACCGGCGCATGGTGCGTCGCTGCTGCAGAGGAGCGGGCGGCCGCGAATACAGCTAGGAAGAAAGCAGTTGCTGCTATGATGCAGCGACCACGCGCTATGCCCACGATTGAGCAGCGGGCGTATCAGCTCAAAGTTAAAGTGAGTATAAAAAATGGCTGTAATTTACGCGAGTAGTACACGTTTAAATAAAACACGATATATATATTAGTTAAACTAATTTAGAAATTATTTTAACTGCGGCCCGATGTTTCGGATGCTTTGCAGCAGTCGTTGCCATGGGAAGACAGGCCCGTATTAAAACGCGTTTTAAACCATTAAAGTGTTTTATTTAAAAATATAGTTTCCCTTATGATAAGCAGATGACAGACACCCAAGTTCATTGGGATCGCAAACCACAAGTGAGATGCCAATATGCCTCTGAGCATTTAAAATCAATAAAGGACATCAGCGCATCTGACTTATTCATATTCACCTTCCATCAAGTGAACTACTGTATGGCATAATATGTTTTAAATTGAAAATTAGATTGAGACACTTTTAGGATATGGTTGGGACTTAAACTTACATCCACAGCGTTCTGTGCTGCTGCTCTAACTAACTGAGCTGCTGTGTACTGTGTATATTGTTGTGGATGCGGTTTCAAAGACCCACCTGTGTCGATTTTTTTTTTAGAGAGATAGAGAAAGAAATATTTCAAAAAAGAATTATTACAAAACATAAAAATAAAACAGAATTTGATATTAACAGTATAACTTAATCTTAACAGTATAAAATAATGTTTTGTGGTAGTATAGGTCTTACTCAGCTGATATCTATATATTGAATTCCATCATCAACAATGTGAAAAGTAATAATAATAGTAATTTTTAATTTAATATTCTTCCGTTTATTTTCATATTCAGGATATGCGTTCAAAGTGGAAAGGCAGTCACGAACTTAAAGCAATGTCCAATAACGAAGATCTAGTTGAGGAGAGGGAACCAATTTTGGACGGGTTCGTCCCGGACTACGACCTGAGGCTGTTCAGAGATGCGCAAGCACTGGCCGCTGTGAAGATAGAAGAGGAATTAGATGATATTGCTACGGATAAAGGAACTAGGTATTGAAAAACTCAATTTTTTTGCTTTATGTAACCACAGTGTTACCATTACATCAAATACATTTAAACATTTTTTTATTAGTACTAATAAAAATTAAATCCCTATCTAAAATATCTTTGGAGGTTTCCATTGGTGCGCTGCTTCTAGTTACCAAAAAAATATGTATGTAAGAATGATTCATTAAATTATGTAAAAAAAACGAGTGTATGTCATACACTGCGTTGTTTGTGGCGTTGGCATGCTAATCATGTAGATCTATCTTTTGAGATTAGCATCCCAGATCGACGGGACGCACGCGACGTTGTGTATATCCCTTAACAGTTAAAACTTATAAAGATGAGGTTTGAATTTTAAATTTTGATGGCCAAAATAATTATTCCACGCGAACGAAGTGGCTGTTACAGCTAGTAAAATATAAGGTTTATAGATATATTGGTGCATTTACAAGAGTAATGTGTTTTATTTAAATATGTATACAACTGAAATACACTTTTATATTATGTTAATAATAATTTCAAATAAGATTATAGTCATTTTCGTAGATACGTAGTGATGGGCAAATACATGATGGAGGTGTGGTACCAGTCTCCATATCCGGGTGATGCGGCGCGGGTGCCTCGCCTCTTCGTCTGCGAGTTCTGTCTAAAACACCAGGCCTGCGCTGCTGGGGCTGCTAGGCATCGTGCTAAGTGTGTCTGGAGACATCCACCCGGTGATGAGGTTAGGCAACGTCCATCTAATTAAATAAAACATTTTAAACGAATAAAACGCGATATATATTAGTAAAACTTATTTGGAGATTATTTTTATGTATACTACTCGCGTAAACTACAGACAGTATTTAACGTACATCTCCTTTCTTAGAAAATATTATTCTTACATAATATGGATGTATATAAAATATAAAATTAGGCATATCAAGTCAGCAAAGTCTGAAACAAACAAAAGTAACTTAATATGGAACCATGGCTCAGACCCAGTACGCGTACATTTAAAGAAACAGATAATTTTCACAGCAGACGAGGGCATAAGATTGAGGTAAACTTGATGAAACGTGAAATATAGTAGTCGTATAAAATCAGGAATTGCTTTGTAAATCTATAATATACTGATACCAAAACGCAGATTATTACGTCTCTATTTCCATTTATGGAAATAATTAGTGATGTGGATGGAGTTTCGATATACCACCCAAATTATATCTAGAAGACGTCCAACCCATTTTAAAGAAATATCTTGGACTCGGCGGGATTTTGCTACCATTCAATTAACTAACCCGCTTTGTTCGTGACTGAATAGAATAGAAATACGTTTATTCAGAAACAACACACAAACGACAAATAAACATTTACAGTTAAAACTTATTCTATAAACGTACAAGTTTAATTCAATATTAAATAAATACACCAATATAGGTGCCTCTAAAAAGGAAGCCACTCAGCTACACGTTATTTGCTTGTTGCGTGGTTACTGCAATGTTATTCCAACTCATAACAAAAAAATAATTAGAAAGATTATCGTAATCACCTGATGCGGGTTTGAATCCCACCACATATCATTGACTTTTTTAACCTTTAACATATTCTCTATAATACAACAGATTCTATGTGTTTAAATGTGAAAACTAACTACTAAATTATTTATTTCTCAAGAAAGCTTAATATTTTTCACACGCACATGATGCCTCTATATAAATTAAAAATCGATTATAAATTGAAAAAAAAAATACTATTTGGGCAGGCCTAGAACCGGCATCCACAGCGTTCTGAACTACTGAGTCCTACACGTCATCGTTAAATTGTTAAATATGGAATCTCATATCAAACTCCAGAACAATACCATTCCAGGTGTACAGGAAGGAATCTCTAAGCGTCTGGCAAGTAGATGGAAGGAAACACAAGCAGTACTGCCAGCAGCTCTGTCTCCTGGCCAAGTTCTTCCTCGACCACAAGACGTTATATTATGACGTGGAGCCCTTCCTCTTCTATGTGATGACCTGCGCTGACTCCGAGGGTTGCCATATTGTGGGATATTTTAGTAAGGTCAGTGTTCAGAAAGTATATATAAACATTGGTCTTAATTCGTTCTTGATGGGTTCCGTGTATAAAACTCTAGCAAATATTTCACGGTTGTTATAAAGGGAGTTCTCTTAAAAACTAAGAAATTAATAGCGTAATTGTAGTTCATTTTTTTGTGGACTTTTTTGGGTTTCAGTGTGCCTATGTGATTTAGTGATAATGAGTTAATGATCAACGAGTCCTTTCTTTCTATATCTAACAGGTCCTACAATAAAAAAATACTTTTTCTTAAACATTTTAGACTGTCTGAAAAATCGGCATATTAGATGGGTGGTATGAACACGGAAGCTTAATTCTTTTTACTTTCAAATAAAACACTTTAACGGTTTAAAACGCGATATATTAGTTAAACTATTTGAAAATATCTCCCCGTGACCACGGCTGCTGCAAAGCATCCGAAACGTCGGGCCGAAGTTAAAAATCATTTTCAAATAAGTTTAACTAATATATCGTTTTAAAACGTTAAAGTTGTTTATTTCAATGTGTACTACTCGCGTAAACTATAGACAGTATTCTTTTTACTTGTAAGAGTTTAGGTAGATATTGTTTTTGGTTCCAGACCCGTATTGTCTCGAACCCGCGACAAAGGGAGTCGTTTTCCTGCTAAGTAAGAGTGTTTTTTTAAAGTAAGAAGCATATTTAATTTTTTTTAATCAAAACTCGAAAATTGACTTGTAAAATGCACTGTTTAATTTCAAAACTGTTTGAAAATCACTACTCATTCATTCTTATTTAATCAAAACTTATAATATAGTTGTGGCATAAGAATAGACTAGAAATACTTGTATTCAGAACACAATGTTTAATCTTTTTTTTAAATCTATACTTCTATACTAATATTATAAGCGAAAGTCTCTGTCTGTCTGTCCGGCTTTAACTCCGAAACTATTCAACGAATTAAAATTTTTAATGCCAAAAAAAGGGTTGATAGAGGATGAAAAAGGGGATGAAATTTTGTATGGAAACTTGTGATTTTTGAAGCTAGAACAATGAAACTTTCTTCTTTGGCTTTTTGGGAACAGGAGTGGGAGTGGGAGTGCAAGTGAGTGTAGGAATGAAAGTGTGAGTTAGAGTAGGAGTGATGTGAGGTGAGAGTGTTGCGGCAAAGATGCACTTACAACATAGATTGGCTGCCTTAAATGCGCCCTTACATAAATGAATAAACAGCCTGGATAATTAAAAATTCTACCCTAAGTCACAATTCCACGCGGACAAAGTCGCGGGCACAGATAGTGTAATGATAAAGTAAGAACCAATGCCACCATTATTTTTGCAAATTAAAAACAGCAGCGTACGCCGCGTTAATAGTAGCGTGCTAGTACTCCACCATTGAACGTCAGCTGTGGGTTCAACGACCGGCTGGCCACGCCCCCCGGGGTGGGAAATGTCTAGATTCGGTCGCGATTCTGATATGCGTATGTTGATGTAGGGCTCGGAACTTGTAGGGATTTTGTTTTCGTCTGGGAAGTCCTTTGCGTGCCTTTGAGGGGTTCAGAATTTGCAATTTTCATGCTTAAAAGATCGTGATTATAATTTTAGACGCCCTTGTTTGGTTTCACTTGCTTGTGTTTTTAACTTTAATACAGCTAGTATGTTTTAACAGTCTATACATTTGTTTATAGGTACCTACTAAAAGATAAAAAATAAGATAATTTGTTTAATGATGTTTGGTGTAATTTAAATAATGTACCTTGTTTTGTGAACTCTACATATATACCTGGCAAGTGTTACTTGCTTTATTAGAAGAAAGTATGACGGACTCGTTAATACAATAGTAGCAATGTACGGCTTCGATTCCCGCCGGGTCAATTATGTATCCCATAAATTTATATTTTTTCTGAACATGTTGGACTTCGACTAAAAATCTGGATATCAAATGGGTGGTAGGAACATCGAAAGTCCGTCCAGGTGACTAACAAACGTCTACAATAGGAAGAAGCTGAGATTTAATTGTGTTTCGGTTTCAATGTGGTTTGCCAAAGCCAAAATAAGGCTGGAGTATTTCTCCGTACCAATTGCACTCCGTGCTTGTCTGTGCTCCTCTATCATAAAAAATAAGGTTTGTAGTTAAAAATACTTGCTCGTATAACAATTTGCGATAAATACACCGTACAGACGCTCATAAAACAGTCATCGCACCAGTTTGATTATTGTTATAAACATTGGCAATTTACTTGAGTTATCGTTGCGTTGTAACCTCCAGACGTTTCACCTTTCGCCAACGATTGCTCAGCTCTTTATGGCTTATATATGTAATGTTGTCGTGTTCGCCAGACATAATTATTCTATCCGAAGACGGAACCCTTGTTTTGCCTTAGACAAGTGCTTTTGAGAAAAAAATGATTCGTGCATTTGTTAAATGTAAACATTTTATAAATGTTTGAATTGAGCTTTGATTACGTTAACAGTTAGATAAATAGAAAAAAATATTTTTAACAGTACTATATACATAATCCTTATCGTCGAAATCGGTCAAGCTTTCGTTTGCGAGACATACAATCAATTAGTAAATTATTAATGGGAATAAAACTTACATGAATTAAATATCTATTTAGATTGAAAAGGTTATGACTCGCCGCCGTCGTGGTTCTTTCCCGCTGCTCTGACAAGTACAGCTCAAAAATTTTATTATTTTTTTACATGCAGGCATATGAAGGCACTATATAATTCAATAAAATAAGTTTTTAAAAATTTCGACTGGAGCTACCGAGTCCTACACCTCATCGTCGAATTTTTTCAACATACTGGTACATACTGTCTATAGTTTACGCGAGTAGTACACATTTAAATAAAACACTTTAACGGTTTAAAACGCGATATATTAGTTAAACTTATTTGAAAATGATTTTTAACTTCGCCCGACGTTTGGATGCTTTGCAGCAGCCGTGGTAGGGGAGACGTCTCCTTGTCGCCGTGGTCTCCCGTGACCACGGCTGTGCAAAGCATCCGAAACGTCGGGCCGAAGTTAAAAATCATTTTCAAATAAGTTTAACTAATATATCGCGTTTTAAACCGTTAAAGTGTTTTATTTAAATACTGGTACATGCTGACTCGGTAGCTCAATTGGTAGAACAACAGCATGGAAAGCCGACGATGCCGGTTCGAATGCTGCCCGAGTCGAAATTTATTCTCGTAAATTAAGTAGAGCTCAATTTTCAATTTATAAATTCCCATCATTTCAGAAGGTTTCATAAATTATATAAAACTTGATTCATTTTTTTGTATAAACTGTAATTTTTTTCTTACATATATCTATTATAGAATATTTGTTCGTAAATATACAGTGTAAAAGGACTGCACTACGCGTAGTTTTGTGTGGTATAGTGACTTCCGTGACTACAAAATAACAATTCTCAACCCCTTGCGGTGGGTCAGTTCTGTATTACCAACTTAATAGTTTACTCTACCTAGACGGAGTCATGTTTCAGGAAAGTTATAAATACATTTTTTGAAATATGTTGGATTTTTACGCGTAGTGATTGTTGCTTGAACAATTCGGCCAACAATATATTAATTTCATAAAGTATTAATTAAAGAATAATTAATATATTCTTCGTAAATTACAGTGATTGCGTTCTATTTTAAATTAAGGTCTGCTGTGTCGTAGTTAGCTAAAATCTAATTTTTGAAGGAAAATATGGACCAAAATAAGATAACCAAGATATTATATAAAGCAAGTGAATAATTTCTTTAATAATATTGGAATATTTGACGGTGTAAAATACCAAATATTCTCGTCAATGTATTAATTTAACTACGACCCAACTCTACAGTTTTTACGTTCACTTCTGGTTGGTGTAAAGCATATGAAACGTGGGCTCGAATTTATATATTAAAATTAAATACTGTCTCTAGTTTACGTACACATTTAAATAGTACATTTTAACGGTTTAAAACAGAGACACGGCTTCTACAAAACATTCGAATCCTCGGGCTGTAGTTCAATTAATTTGCAAATAAGTTACATTACGCGTTTTCAAACCGTCCTAACCACTTGTTTTATTATATTCACTACAGACGTTACTATAACATTTAATACGCGTCTTGTGAACTACAGTCCTCTATCTCTGCTGCAAAGCTGCTGTGAGGACGCCGAAAATAAATGAAATCAATAGATCCGTCTCGCCGTTGTTATAGACGTAACTATCTATGTGGCTAAATCAAACTACGATTTGAGATACGCAGCCAGACTGTCGGTTCGTTCCCGTTAGAACCCAGTGCAATATATCTCTCTACTAAACTCTATACTATAAAGCTGAAGAGTTTGTTTCAACGCGCTAATCTCAGGAACTACCTGTACGAATTCAAAAATTATTTTTGTGTTGGTTAGGCCATTTCGACACCGAGGAAGGCTGTTATAAAACATCACGCTGTGACAAATAGGGACGAAGATACAGAAGGAAAATTGGAAAGAACGGGGAATATGAGGTTTGAGGGCTTTGGTTGCGTGCGTTGCAAAAACCGATTCAAGAAACAAAAAAACTATGATTCAACTTTAAAAATGATCTAAAAGCCAAGTGTGTCTATCTTTTAATATCAAATTGCAAGAACGATGCGAAGGGACGCGGACGACGATGTGGGTAACAGGCTATAATTTATGAAGCTGTGTTGTTTGTAAAAAAATGATGCCTAAAATAAGTATTAGCGGACGTAGTCGCAGGCGCACCTAGTGTTACTATTTGACAATTGGTCTATATACATGTCAGCCAATAGTCGGCCTAGGCGGGTGTTTGGTTTTCGTAAATAATTTTTGTAATATGCTAGGCAAGAGTTTTATTTTATTTTTATATAATTTTCGGTATCAGTGATATTTATACTCATTAACTTTTATATCTCTTAACGCTCAAAGACATTACCCTTTTTTCTTCACCATATTGGTTAAATGACAGGGTAATCTATATAATATAGAGGAAACATTTGTATTGTATATGTGTAACATTTTTAATATCTACAAAAACATCTCT